ACGTAACCAATCCAACTTCTCTATTCGACGTAGGTTGAATTTATTGCCTTCTACACCAAAATATAGCTAGATTTGCCAATGGTTTTTGTTGCACCTTCTTAATAATTAGCATTCATTTCACTACAGATCTTTTTATCCCTCTTAGCCTGTTTTCTCTCGTGATGATGGTATTCTACATTTCGTGTGCATAAAATAATGTGGAAGGAAAAAGCACACGTGTGCACATGAAAGATGAATTTTTGGCATAGTTAGCAAAGTGTTAATTCGGAAACTATACTAATTAAAGCGGTCTCGTTGTACTAAAATATTTGCTATCCGTACTCGGACATGACGTAAAATAAGGCTTGGCACTTTTGCATAAAGCATTTGGTCACTCCAAAGATATGTGTAGTAAAAAACAATTTTGCCAACCAGTCCAGCTCAGGAAGCTGAAACTTTACGAGAATATCCTATGCCAATGTGCGGTCTAAATATTTTAAATTTAGCTCTAGAGCATGCCTATGTCTCGAATACGCGTAAATAGAAATTTGGTTTGGGAACTGTTCGCACCCAATTAATTCGGTGACCAAAGCGAACAGGAAATAGTATTTTTCTGAGGATATTTGTTGCCCTGCGAAAGGAGCGTTTCTGTCTAGGCATGGACATCGCATACAACTGTTGCACAACACTCATGCTCTAGTAGTACAGGCTTCCTCTTAAAAGGGCGGAATCATGCAAAAACTTACGGAATCGTCTAAGTTGATTCAGTCAAACCTTCTAGTAAGACTGACGGCCTATCGGCATAAAACTTCGTTTTGAAACGCTATGTGCCGAGTGTCAGTCCTTACGCGTCCATTCCGAAATGTTTCGTAAGTAGAATTCGGCGGTAGCAAAAGTAATGCAACATAGCAGATCTGCTTTATAGCACAGTGCTAATTTTGCTTGTTACCGATGGTTGTCGCGTTTCACCGTACACCACAAAAAGAACGGTCACCCATATAAACTCAGAAATGGTGGACATAGACAGTGGGCTGACGAATAACAGCTGTGACTGAGATACATGAACAGTGATGATTAAGCACAGCAGTGTTTCGAGAATCGTTATCATTTTTTGACTTTAATACGGTTTCCCTTCGTTCCCGACTCGTTTGAATTTACGCTTGAGAAGCCCTACTGCGATATTCAGCACTGAGTCAGTGATCTGTTAAGAACACAAATCTGTCTAAATCTTTCTGTCTTTTTTCATTTGGTTTTTTTTCTCTTTGAAAACTGCTTTTGGAGTTAAAATGGGCCAGGCTCTGAAGAGTTGGGCGTGGTCTTTTGCTGGCCTCATATAAGAGTATTAGGCGTAATTTGGTCACATCCAATTCAAATATTCCTTGTCTTTTAAATGTCTTCTTTCTTTAGTTTGGCCTATGATGAGAGACTCAACAAAAATAAGCAATAAATTTGTTCTGGAATATGGCTTGGTCCCCATTTTCCTCAACCTAGCATCGAGCTATCTCTTTGGATGATCAGTTAATGCGTGATCGTTTTGCAAGTATCTCTCCATCATTTCGTTGGCTTTATTCCTTTATTTTACATCATTTTCCCG